TTAAAAAAAAAAAAAAAAAAAAAAAAAAATCTGGAGCCGGGAAGTGAGAGACTGCACAGCACTGTGAGTGTCTTTGATGTAACTCATTTACACACTCAAAGTATCTACGAGCATAAATTCTACTGTACTTTACCACAATACAACAATTCACAAAATGTCAGTCTGTTTTGTTTGAAATAGGGTCTCACACTGTAACCTACGTTGGCCTTGAAATCAGAGTAATCTTTTTGCCTCAGCTTCCCAAATGCTTGCATTACAAGCAAGAACCACCACACCCATATTAAAATGTCAACTTATTTTTTGATTTTTTTCAAAGCTATACAATTGTCATTTATGCTATTTCTACCTAATACCCTTAATATCCATAACTCTGAAATTTCTTTTATATTAGCCACTAACACACATGTATAAACGTTATACACAGAATAATGTGACCCATTATTTTTAAAGACTATGAAAAGGCTGCAGGGTGTGAGTGCAGAGCACAGCTGTCCTCAGTGAGGATCAATTGAGCTAGACACAAAAGGAAAATGAAGGTGCTCCTCTAAGCGCACCTAAAAAACAATACCAACCTCAAACAAAATAAAGCAAAAAATGAAACAAAACAAAACAGAAAACCTGCTGAAGCCAGGTAAAACTAGGGTCAAATATCAATTACACTACAGAGAAACCCCGTCTTGGAAAACAAAACAAAACATATCAATTATGCATAATTTTCAGCCTACATTTTAGACCAGAATAAATTTAAAGCATTAACGTCAGCACAAAACCTATCATTTCAAAACAAACAGTAGGAAGGGAGAAAAGAATAAGGGCAGAAAGAAAATCAGAATCAGTCTGACTTACCTCTCGAGTAGCTAGCTGGTTGCTGAGCTCTTCAGCCTTCTCAACATCCCATTCCTCCACAGCCTGGTCTATCCTCTTTTCAAGGCCTGACTAGAAAGAAAGAAAAACAAAACAAAACAAATTATGGCCAGGAAAGAAAGTCAATCATTTGCTAACTAAGACTATGTCACAGGACTATAGCAAATGCAGCATCCACTCAGTCCTCTCAATAACCCTATAATAAAGGCTTGCATCAATTTCAATTTATCGATAAAACATTTCTAAAACATTCAGTGACTAGTCAAGGTCCCCAAATTTCTCAAGCTAACAGTAAAAAGAAGATGCAAATTCAGATGGGGAGGGGGGTGTAGAACAAAAGACTGCTAAACCCTAATAACGGCAAAGTTAATTACAGCAATGATTCAAAATTATGGAACACTTACCACATGGAAGAACCTGGGGGCTTATACTAAAGCTGTCATTGCATCCTTATAACAGCTCCATTCAATGCTAGCTTGTTTGCAAGAGGTAGAAACAGTCATAAATTGCTCAACTTGGCTGACATGCGTCTTTAAGTTGTAAAGTTATCCCACACTCAGCTTTGCACAAACTCTGAGTTCTCATCAACAGCCCATTCCCACAGCTCAACACTCTCACGCCCAAGTCTCTCGCCATCTTCAAACAGGGCTATTACGCTGACTACACTGAAGAAAGCAAGAAATAACAATCATTTTATTATCTTCCTATGGAAATATTTTAATTTACTAAAACTGCTTCAAGAAATCAAAAATTTAAAGGTCATGGAATCACCAAACTAGGTAGGGTTTATCAAGACACCATGATATAAACAAGGTCTAGTTGTGAATTGTTACTTCAGAATATAAAACATTTAAGTGGTCTAGAATGTGCTTCTTGAAAGACAATTTTATTCTAACAACTACCCCCTATCCCTTCTTTTCAGCACAGTGTATCTTGGACTTCCTCCTCCTTATATAACAGCAAAAGTGTTAAGAAAATCTCTTTCACTGTCAGATCACAGCAGTCAACAGAGGGATTTTGTTCCTGTACTGATGTTGAAATGAAGACTTTATAAACTACAACATAATCCACCAAAAAACAACAAACTGGAAGCAGAGGCCACGGAGCATCTCCCTGGATGTCTGACATAAAAAGACTCCTGTATCACAATCCCATCTGAGAACCAGGGTGGTCAACCTGCTTTCTATAGCAGCTGAAGACCTTCATTCAACTAACTACCCTTCATTATCTCTAGCCTTAGGCCACATGATTCTAATGCCATTTTCTACTCTTGTACAATCTCCAGATCTTCCCTGCCTTGTCCTCCGTAGAACTGTCCTCAGGCTGGTGCAGATAACACAGCAGACTCTTTTCCAACTCTTTTCATTTCCAAGAAGCCAACTCTGTCTACTCTAAGCCTGTGCCACTCCAACTGAGATCTACGTACCAGTTCTGACCTGCCAATGTGCGAATCTACTATGCAAATGTTTTAATTCATAAAAATACTTCAAGAAATCAAAATTCTAAATGTCATGAAATTACCAAACTAAGTAGGACTCACCATACACTTATCAAAAGTCTATTATTTGGGTTCATGCAAAGAGCTAAGCTAAGGATCATTTGCCAGAATGCAGATAAACTACCTGGCTACCAGGTTTATCTAGATAACTCTTTCTTAGCCTCATCTATGGCATTGTTATAATTAATAATCTCCAGCCACAAGTGCCATCTTATTAATGTTCCTTCTGCCTCTGACACACTTCTCTTTAAAAACAAACAAACAAAAAACCTTTCCCATCTTTTTAGTATTCCAAAATCCTTGCACACAGGAGGCACTCACTCAGCCTATCCTACTGCACTGAACGTTGCAGTACAATAACCCACCCACACTGGTAGCCCCAGATAAGAATTCCACAAGTGTAACACTGAAATAATGATACCATTTCAGTCTAAAAGGGGTAACATACTGTCATGCCTATTTATACAAATTTATGTGCAACAAATAAAAATGTATTTCTTGGAGCTAGAGACCAATGGCTCAGCAGACAGGAATACTGCTGCCATTCAGTGGACCCCAGTTCAGAACCCAGTACCAGCATCGGGTTCCAGAGGATTTGATACTTATTCTGGCTTCTGTATTTCTTCTGGGCTCAAGGGTATCTTTATCTTGAGCTCCCAGAGTGTAGTACAATTAGAAGTTTATATTCTCCATTTAGAACTTCATATTTAATCTATAATGGAAATGAAGCTATTTATTTACAAAATGCTAAAACAATAGCCTATACTCCCATTGCAGAACAAGAGATTTCCTCAAAATGCCTTTGAGACAGATGAAGTAAACATTAATATCAAATTCAATTTTCTTATATCACAAGGACTGAGGTAGCCAGATACCTCAATTCAGTATTACCCAATCACCTAGACAAGCTCCACTCTTTCACCTTAGGAACCTGTCCACTGATCCTCTCTTCAGACATGTATGTTACGCCCAGCAGCTGTGCTCCCTTCCATTACCCTAGGCTCTTGAGACTGGAAAGGCTGGGTGTTGCCTTCTGTAACCCAAAGATTCTTAGACCCGAATTACCTCCACCTATTGAACCATTCTACTGAATCAACTTGTTAATGTCCCTCTGGTACACAGAGCTACAGCTCAGCACTGAATGTCACCAAGGGAAAGGAAAACTCCTATGAACTGCTGAGCTTAAACATAAGGTTAAGTTTCACTTTAAAATTAAACCAGAAGAGGAACATCCCTTAGTAGTATTGCCTAGAATACAGGAAACCCTGGGTTTAATCCCTAGCACTGCACTAAATCTGGAGTAGTGATGACACACACTTGTAATCCCAGCATTTGGGAGGTGAATACAGAAGAATCAGAAGTTCAGGGTCCTTGAAGGTCATGGTGGCACACGCCTTTAATCCCAGCAAAGGGTAGCAGAGGCTGGCAGAGCTCTGTGAGTTCATGGCCAGCCTGGTCTACACAGTGAGTTTGTTTTCTTCTTTCATACAGTACTTTTGTCTTTTTCTTCTTTTCAATTTCATTGAGACAGGATCTCACGCTGTACCCAGGCTGGCTGGGAGCTTATGGCACTTCTCATGCCTCAACCTCCAGAGTCCTGAGTTTATAGGCATAATCTATGTAAGATGCCTAGCTATGAAAATTTTGTATTAAGAGACATGCAAAATTCTTGTACTATAAACACTCCCTTCAACATAAGAAAATATTCTGCCAAAAACTCTGCTGAGAAAGTCAAATGAACTAGAATTTCCACCCAAGAGTTGAGCAATCTGGGAGGGTCTCTAAACTTCTACGGCAGAAGTTCTCTCGTTAAGATCAAGTAAATATAAAGCTGTGCTCACTACAAAATGATGATGAGGGTATGTAAGATGCCTAGCTATGAAAATTTTGTATTAAGAGACGTGCAAAATTCTTGTACTATAAACACTCCCTTCAACATAAGAAAATATTCTGCCAAAAACTCTGCTGAGAAAGTCAAATGAACTAGAATTTCCACCCAAGAGTTGAGCAATCTGGGAGGGTCTCTAAACTTCTACGGCAGAAGTTCTCTCGTTAAGATCAAGTAAATATAAAGCTGTGCTCACTACAAAATGATGATGAGGGTCAAGAAAATACATGTGAACTATTTAGCTAATATTTAGATTACAGTAACCACCCAGTGGTGTTACTGGTTCCTCTATCTCTAACATCAGGTGACTTCCAGGACAGGTTACACACCTCATCACACTTCTTTGGGGGCTCAGATACAAGTATCAAGAATTTGACTCTGGGTCAGTAAATTGTCTCATCAAACAAGATTTAAGTATCCAAGCTTTTTAAGATTTTCCAGACAGGTCCCAAAGTAGCTTCTGATTTAAACAGGATCTTCCACACCAGAAGACCAACAGGAGCTGACGGGTAATATTGACAGCAACAGTGCCTTGGTACACTCTTCACACTTTTTACTCAAGTGAGACTTATCTCAGAGAGCAGGTATACAGAGGAATGGCAATTTACCCACAAGTGGATATGTTACCTGAGGGCACCTATATAACAGGTTCCTGTAAGACAACGATTGACGTCTAATCAATAAAGCTGTCCTACAGATGTCAAGACGGCACAACAAACAGGTGTGAGGACTTCATGGGCACTTGACGTCAGGGGCTCAACCCACATGCGCATACAAAAAATCTCTGTGACTAAAGCTCTTTAAGGCCAACAGCATCACAATATATTTCTCCACAAATCTCAATGCTAAATGTTTATTTGGATAATATATTCAATCTTTAAAGCATGATAAAACAAATTATCTATGGGAATTTGCTTAATTATGATATAATCTAAATATCTAGGAGCAAAATGAGGCAATTTCTCCATAAAGAGGAGGGAACAACATTTAAATATAAACCTAAGTTAAATATACATAAATCATACAAAATTTAGAGAAATCAAAAACTAAATTTATTACTTTAGAAAAATTTAGACAACCAAAAAAAAGTTTAAAGTAAGACTTTAAACCTACCTGCTGTTTGTTTTTTAATGCAAATATATCAGAAGACTAATACTGGCCCTCCCTCCAGAGATCACCATGGGGATAAGAAAACACCATGATTGATATCTCCCTCCCAACATAGTCAAGGCAGTCAGGTCTCGATGTGATCTATATACTAGAGTTCCACATAAGGTCCTGATGGAAAAAATACTCTATCACAAAAAGAACAAGTGTGAAAAAGATATTCTATGCAGCAGCAGTTGAACAACTTTATACAAACATCAAGGACAGTGATTCTAAAAAATAAAAAAAGTACCTGTAGTTTTCATACCAAAAGTATCCATTTGACATACCCAGGACTACTACTTCAATAATGACAGCTATCTAATAAAATTGAGTCAACTATAGAATACTTGAGATATTTAGAGTGAAATTAAAGGGCAAAATTTATTTTGAAGAAATTCCCACATAGATTAAAAATAATTATGTTATGATTACAGAATTACTAACAAGCCCCATTAACTGCTGCCAGACACAATGACATCTGCATTTAATACAATGAACACCTTAAAACAGTGTTGAACATTAGGAAGACTATATTTAAAAAAATACAAGCCTCTCTGCACTGTCTGGCAGGCAGGGGACAGCAGTGTTGTGATACACATTCTGGGTTAAGCCAGTTTTGCTTGGCAGGACTCCAAGGGGGGGGGTGATAGTCATAAGATTAAGAAGTTTTGTTTTGCTTTACTGTTCTTGAGGGTTGAGTGAAAACAAAATAAAAAGACTTTCTGATATTGAGACAGATCAGCCTCTGCTCCAGAGAATAAAATGCTAGACTGGAAATACATATTTGTTTACACTGCACTACGCATCTACACAGTGCTACCAGATCCCTAACTATCTGCTGGACTTAAAGTTATTTATAGCTTTTATCACGATGTCTCCAATGTGGACATTTTGCTTTTCCTTTTTAAAGTTTATTTGCTTTGCTGGACTCACAGTACGACCTCGGCAGGACAGCAAAAGCAGCATCATGTAAAAACCATGATCCCAACCGAGAAAGTGAGTGCAGAACTGCCGGCATGCAGTTATACTCGACTCCCAAGAGAAGCTGAAATAACTCGGCTTTACTAAACCCTTTCTTTCCTTTCATGCTTACATCTACTTGTAGACTAATAAGTGCTGGCAAAATAGAAGTCTGGCCAACAACAGTTTCCTTGATAGGAAGACTGTAACGGCGTAAGCGAATGCAGACAGATTGTCAAAATATAGACAGCTTTAATGGAGGAATAGACCTATAGAACCACCGTTCCCGCGGAGACCAGGAAAGCAGAAGCGAGCGCTGGGAGCACGCTCGCCAAATTTATAGGAAAACTTTAGCCTGAGGCAAACACGCCCCCTAAGGGGTGGGACTTATCCCTACATCTCCCCCTTTTGTCTAAATAAGACAGAACTAAACCAAATACAACTATATACAATAATAACAAATAAATATAACAAACAATATTGAGAATCAAAAGTTTTGCTAAACATTCTATCTCAAGGAGTCTAAATAATGTAGAGAGTAACTACAATTATATAATCTTCAACTCCATCAAAGATCCGAGAAGGGAATAAATATTACTTAACAAACGAGATATATCCAAAATGTGTAACAATTGACAAAGACAACTGACTACCTGGGCAATCACCCAAAGTCTCGTTTGCAATGTTGAGTCAACCAACTTTGGCTAAGGCCTAACATAACTGACATACCATTATTAAAGGCAAGGAACTTTTCAAAACTATCTTACCCTGTCTTGGCAGGATATGACAGTCCTGTTGTATCCATTGATGCACGCTCTGTATCTCTGTCAGTGGTTGAGGTATGGGCTTTTCTTAACCCAAAGGCCAGTTCTGCCAAGAAGACAAGCTCCCAGTGGAGTGTCTTTGGTGCTCAACGTTCTCTCGGGAATAGAGCGGTGTTGCCAGGAGCAATTGTGTCTCACTATCACGAAACTCTGAGTTATATTAAAGGCCATATTCTACAGCTCTCCAAAGAGGTTGAAGATTATCTATCTATACTGAGTATAATCTCTATATATCTAAAGAACCTGATTAGTCTAATTACAAATGACAAACTTAGATGACTATTAATCTATATAATTCTCAATATCTATCTAACTTAAAGACTAAAACAATAAACAACTGTGCAATATATGAAGACAATGATCTTCATCTGTAAACAATGTCATTACATATCAAATGTAAACAATGTTATTACATAAATAGTATCAGAGGTAGAAATGTACATTGTGATATGGTAGATGTATCAATACAATATAAGCATATTCTTATACAAAAATAGAGGTAGGAACACTCACATTCAATATTCAATATGTCAATATACAGAAAACAGTACCAATACAATTTTCTAAAAACAGTAACTCACAAATACCAATCATCCCATCAAACCAGTTAATCCCCCCCCCTTTTTTTTTTTTGAACATACCCCTAATTCCATAAAACATCTCCCCATCCCCTCAACCCCAAACCAACCACTAAAAGATGTCCCTAACCCTGAGGGCAAACTCTGTTGGGAGAGGGGACGTCGTCCTCTAAGATTGCTTCAAGCTGACATGGGGGCGATGTTCTCCTTAGGGGCTCCTGTGAAAGCAAATGATGGTAAAATTCCCAAATTAACCTTTGACCTAAGAAAATTATAACTAGTCCCTGAGCACTTTGAGAAGGTCCTGCCAGAGTGTTGTCAAAAATGTGCACCATTCGAAATTGTCTTGTGCAGTTGGTACCAAAAAACAGGTCTCATATTAGCGCGTAGAAAAGAGAAAAAAAAAATATTCATGACGTCATAAAAACCAGGTTGAGTTGATGTTGTGGGGCCCCATCTTCATCCTGGAAACTTCAAAAATTACTGTAGGAAAATTTGTTGCTTGTTATGGGAAATTTAAACACTAACAACAAGGACATATACTGACACATGTTTTATGACTCAGATTTTACTTGCAACTCTACCACTGGGATTTGTGGGAAATGTATTATTTCTGTATCTGCTTAAAGGTTACTGCTCAGTAGTAGGTGCAGAAAATGAACCTAGGGCCAAGTACCTGGTGTAATAGGGACTATTTTGGAATTAATTCTTTGCAAAACTGGAGAGAAAAAGCCACATGAAAAATGCTCTGACTATAATCTCAGTCATAGACTGAATCCATAGGATCACTTGATTGTGATCAGGAATTCAATACCAACCTGGGCAACATAACCAGACCTCTCATCTCAAACAGAACAAAACTCCAAACATAACACAAACAAAATTTGTTGTGATAGGCCCTTAATTTACAATCTTCTCAGTGAAATATCACCACCTAATTAAGTATTTAATATGAGAGGTTTTTCATGAGAAATACCAACCAATCAGAAAACAGCAAAGGTCTTTAGGTACATAGTACTCAGCAGTGATCCATGTAAAGGTATCTCCTTAAAGGAAGCACAAGACACATAGGTCCCACTTGCTCCCATAGGCCTCTAACCCCACCTCGGAACACAGGATTCTCATTATCTTAGACTCTCCCAACACCACTGGCCACCCCCACCATGAATATGTGCGTTATTCCTTCAAGGCCTTTTCTAATTTCTAAAGAGTAACAACTATAAATAATACCTCAGGCTCAGACACTGCTCTGAGCCCCCACCTCATACTAAGCAATTATTTACTCTTTTCTTGTATTCTGATTCACACTTATGCCCCAAACAGAATTGTGAATAGGTCTACTCTCAATCTTTTCTCTTCCTGATTTTTCTCAACTTTCTAACTCACTAGAGGAAAAACATGACAATTCTACCTTCACATTAAAACATGAAAGCACTCACACATTTTTTCCATCGTCATCAACACTACTGTCAGTCAACAGACCACTATCCTGTGCCTAGTCTGCTGTTTTCTCATTATTTTTGCTACATCCCCATCTATTCTCCATAACAGACAGGGAATCTTTAACTTAACTTAGATCCTGTCACTCTCTTAAAATCCAAGTGCACTGTAAATAAAGTCCATTTCCTACCTGCTCCCAGGCCACCCAGTTTGGGCAGTTCTGTAAGATTATCATGAGTCTTGAGCTATACTCTTCCTCACTGACTCCATTCCAGCCAGTCTAACCTTCTCACCAAAACCCACAAAGTTCTCACATTAACCCCTCCTTGAGGGTCTTCACCTGTTTCCGTAGCCTCCTAGTGGCCATTATTTATGTAAACAGCCTTTTACCACCCTTCAGGTCTCAGTGAAAGGGCCTCTTGCAAGAACAGCTTTCTTCACCCAAGGCAAAAAGAGTGAGGCTCTCACAATGATACTTTCACAACTTACTCTTCGGAAGAGTTTTAAACTAGGTATCCACTTGTTTATCAAGCATCTTTTTAGAACACAGTTTCTAATTATATAATTAATGAACTAGTATCTTAGGCAAGGTTAACAGCAAATACATCCTGCTAGCTAATATATGATGGAATAATAGATAAATAAGAAAATGGATCTTACTTTCTCAACTTTTTTCTGTTTAACCGGCGGTTCAAATCTATCATTGGCTCCAAAGTACTGAGTAAGCTCCTTCCACTGTGTTTCATTTGAGGACTGTTCACTAAGACGATAAATTAAGACAAATTATGACTCTTTTTGCTTTGACTATTTTTAACCAGTTGCAATAATTACACTTCAATGACTACTTTTCATGTTTAATCATTATCAAGGTAAGTAATACAGCAATCTAGAAAGATCCACAACACTGCTGAATAGTAACTAGTTTAAATTCCACCCACCTGTGAGATTCTTTTTCATTCTTCAATTTGCCTAAAATGAATTTAGAATACTTAATTATTCAGCTATTATTTAAAAATCATGTTTTAAGAAATTATCCCAACTAGTCAATTCAGAGTTAGAACAACTAACAATCTAAATTTAAAAATAAACACCTTTTTTGGAGCGTTTTCTTTTTTTCTGTTTGAATCTTGATGTTGAATTTTTCTGTTCAGAATGTCTTTTATGCAATTCTTGAAATTTCTATGTAAAAAGAAAAAAATAGTATGGGTGTGTGCTAAAGATTAACATACATTTTAACATGTAAAATGTGTTAAGTAAAATCCTTATGTTCTGCCATTTCTAAAGTCACCAACTAAGGAATTTGCTCTTGGGATACATACTCCAGTCCTCACAACTCAGGTGAATTGGGATAGTCACTTGTTTTAACACAAGCTGTTTGATAACAGAGAATGACACTAAGTGATTTATAATTAAATGAAGAAAAAAAGAAAGAAATTCATTTGCCATGCTAGGCAAAGTAGAGCAGATAATCCTATGACATTTTCCTTCTTCTACTTATGTAAACTAAAACTAGAATCAGAGTATCCAAATGGCTAAATGAGCAGCAGCTCTTATGAGCCCCTGCTATCTGCTCCATCACAACATGCACAGACACGGAGGACACACGCACACTTGCCTACACTCCACATGTTCAGGGAATTCTGGAAACACGCACTTTCCTGACAATAACAAGGAAACCTACGTTCCACATGTTCAAGGGAATTCCAGAAGGACACTTCTCATATGCATTGGCACCAGCCTCTGTTTCCGGTTCTGGCTGGCCCGCTGGGAAATCTGACATCCTTGGCTGGCTACTGCTGCCAGTCTCTCCATCCTCCTGTAAATTAAATTCTCTGAGTTCTGGATTCTCTAGTGTGGCTTCATCTTCCTGTAAATTAAATTCTCTGAGTTCTGGATTCTCTGGTGTGGCTTCATCTTCAGAATCTGACTCAACATCGCTTTCATTTAGCCCAGGAGGTAACAGCCCACTCCACATCTTTTCTTCTAGAAGGAGAAAGGGAAAAATGACTTCAAATAGTACCCACAGAAACTATTTTAAAACCACTAACAGATATCCCAGGAGACCAGTATATCTACCAATGACTGAGGAACAGTCAATTTAAACTTTAAAATCTAAAATGAGATGAATCCTCCATATAAAATAGCTAAAATCAGTTGTGTTAAGTTGAAAAAAAAGTTTAAAATTATCTAACAGTTTAAGTATGTTACAACATACACCTTCAGACAAAGCAGAATATTAATTCTCTAAAGTGTGGGTTATTCCGCTTAACTGAAACAGTAACAGTAAAGCACACACCGCTCAAGAATGTCACACACTTAACAACACACTCTGCAGGAATTTAAAACAATGTACTTTTTTAAATTTTATTTTGTCATTCTTTTATTGAGACAGGGCCTTACTCTGGAGCCCAAGCTGGCCTTGAACTCCTAAAGATCCTCCTGCTTCAGCCTCCTAAGTGCTGTGGCTATATATACACACGTATGAAACATCACAGCCAGCTTAATGCTTAAAATACCGTGCTTTGTGTTGTACTCATTAACGAACAAAATAGGTGGACGCATCATCTATATGAAGCACATTTAACTTTCAAAAGGCTTACTGTCTAAGAATTAGGCTGACAAAGAAAAAACTTTAAGTTGCATACATATGTTTAAAGGGTGCAGTAGAATGGGTAGCAAGATGGCTCAGCAAGTAAAGGCATTTGCCGCCAAACCCCATGACCTGAGTTCACCTATACATGGTAGGTGAAAAACAACTCCTGTAAGATGTCTCTGACCTCCACCTGTGTGTATGCAAGCACATCCACACACAGAATAAGTAAGTGTAAAAAGTTACTAGTAAATAAAAGGTGTGGTAGGTGAAAAAGACACCCTAGTTTTAGATTTTACACTGCCGAAATAAACCACATGAAATGTAATTCAGCTTTTCTGAATAATAATATTATGTACTTGGGAAACAAAAGCTCAGTACAGCATTCAACAGTATCTGTATAGCCCACTAGTATAATCATTAAATTTCATGAAAATGACTTTTAGAATTAGTGTAATCATTCCCAAGATTATGAAAATTTCATTTCATTTCCATAGCACAGACTATTTTTTCATACAACTGAATCCAAAAACAGTTACATCTCTCAAGATTCGTCGTCACTCAGAAGGACCAGTAGAACAGAAAGCTGTCTTGCTCAAAGTCCTGTCCTATTTTGAAATTACTCTAGGAAGAAAACCAACCCCATTCTTTTCAGGTCCCAGGTATCAGGGATCTTTGCATTAATCTCAATTACATATGTCTGCTTTCTTGTAAGGACCTCCTCTCAGATTTAAAGAAAAGGGGTTTGTGTTTGTACTTTTTTTGGCCAGGTTTACCAGTACTTGATTTTCTGAAACACTCTCTTGGCTTTTTACGAGAACCCCAACTAGTCTCCTGACTCCAGTTCCACTTAGGCAGAACAACATCAGGTAACAACTCTGACCCTCGGTTTCTTCACTATAGCACAGGATAAGATAATCACACTGATTATCTTGAGGATTAAATGAGATACAACACTCCAGAGCATTCAGTTCAGGAGGTTCTAGGGGCTCAGTGAATGTTTGGTGGTGAAAATCTTTTTTTTTTTAAATAACCTTGAACCATGCATCAAAACACAAATGTGCATTGGCTCTTGCTATTATTTCTGTGGCCATGAAATGCATTTTTATAATTCCTAATATGGACAGTAGGGCCCGTAAGATACCTCTAAATTTTCTGATATTTGTGATGCTTCATTTATCAGCTGATATAAATCATGTTCCTCCCTGATCTCCATAGCCTGACATGAAGCTTCTAAAAATAAACCTGGTATTTGGCTTCTGAACAGGGCAATAAAACAAGAGGCAGATTACCAGACCATTAATGGAACTCACATATTAATATGCTTTATTTATAAAGGTCTTCTCTAACCATTATGTATAATTTTCTATCCAGAATTTACATTCAACTCCAAGTAAAGACCCAAGTTATATGTGTTCAGCCTTATAAAACCTGAATCTACTCCTGAACTTGGTGTGTATATTTTAAAAGTTGAAATAAAGGGATTCTTGAGATATTCGGTAAAATAGGCCACTAGGGCAAGTGGAGTAGTAACAGCCTCCAAAACATCTTTACGGTCATTATCTGTAAAAGGGTACTGAAACGGCAACAAATTTCAGACATTTTTTAAAGCATGCTTGGGTGTCTACTATAGAAAGTACACCCATGGCATTTTCTATTGCATGCTAGACATTCTCTAAGAGTCTGGGAACAGAAGCACACAAAAGACGACAGGATCTGTAGCCTCACAGAGCAAGGCTAACCCCATGGCAAGGAAATGTCACTCAGCCTGCACTTAGAAAGCATGTGCCCCTACAAGCAGAGCTCTGTTTCAGTATGTTGGGAGTTTCACAATCCACATGCTGGGCACTCACATGTGCTTCCGTACAGAGAGCAGTCTCAGTTACCCTACAGAAGCTATGCTTTTCCTTGTCAGTTTTCAGACAGCTATCCAGTTTTCATGGCTCTTTGACCTTTTTCAAAATTACTTTATCTACTGCTCATACGGCTTCCAAAATTGTCCTCAATATGGTATTTTCCTAGCTCCATAGTATAGTAAATGTATCTGAAGAAAGAAGAAAAGTTAAAAGAACCTCCAAATCCAAAACAAAAAAATTCAAATAAAGTATATTTTTTAAATTTACTACTTAAAAATCTTAAACCACACATCAGTTAACTGTGATATTGGGAGGCGGCACAAAACAAAAAGAAAACATAAACAGAGGTAAGGGAGATTCAGGTTTCTGCTGATAAACACAGGTAACTCCTGGAAAAGAGTCTGCAAAATGGAGCCGTCCATTAAAGCAGCAGCCCAATGTAAACCAGCCAATATGGAGAGGCTGCTTCCATCACTGTGTGTCACTCATATGGTTCCCTGGCCGCCTGCTACTCCTGTTGGGCTTCTTTGAAGGGAGATTCTTTATTTCTTTGAAGTGTCTCTTTCATTCCTTTCAGGATATATATCTTTATTTTAAGGGAGAAAATCCTAAATTAGTCTCTGAGAAAAATCACTCGTCCAATCTCAAAAGACGTGGAATAACAAACAGAAAGAAAGCAAATTCTTCTATGTAGATTATACCCAGGCCCATAGCACAGCTAATGAATTAATTTGTAAGCTTTCAATTTTTAGCCTATAACTAATATTTAATTTAATCATGATAGTCTCAAGGAAGATGTAAATGAGCTACAATTCCCCTTTTCTGCAACGTTTCAAACATCACCTTCATTCCATATACTCATCACCACTGCAGTTATGATTTATTCCATCCTACAAACGATTTTGTGTACAAAATGAGACACATCTTTTAGTTCTGGGCAGGCATCATTTGCTATGACCTGATGCATTTCTGCACTGTTCCAAGTCTAAACAAAAAGGGCTTTCTTTCACCCTCAAAAAACAACCATAGCCATACTGAGCACACACTGGCAGAAAACAATCATTTAAAACAAAGTGGTTTGGTGGCTGGTAATCTGTGGGTTTGTTTCTTTTCTTTTTCTTTTCTTTCTTTCTTTTTACAAAGTTTTATAATGAATGCACTGGAACTCACTAAGCTAATTATCAGTATTTTTTTTAAATCAAAATTATTTATTTTCCTCCTGGTAGCATGGCATCATCTACCACTAGGTAAGAAAACTTAAATCCAATGAAGCGTTATCCTTCGTTTGTTAACCAGAGATGTTGACTATACAACCTCATTTTTATAAAATATGAAAAAAAGGTTTAGTAAATATCATCTCTCAAAATACAGAAACCATAGCAATGCCAAATCTCAGTAACAGAAGTTCTAGCTTGTGTCAGACCTGGAGACCACCAGTTACAAGAGCAAGAATAGGCTTGAAACTCAGATGACTTCCAGCCTAAGCAGCTTTTGCCTGGGTCTCCATCCTAACTAAGCTTTGAAGTGAGAGTGTGATCAGTTACCACGGAGATGTCTCACACCTTTGAAATGTTTATTGTCTTAATACTGACAGTGTCCCAGATGCCCAGAACAGCCTCGCTCTTTGATGTGAATGTAGTTTACATCATGATGTGTAGTCAGTAAATGCAGTTTCTCTCCTCAACTCACAACCCAGTCAAGGTTACCAGCTTTTAGAGGCTGTGCACCCAGGCCACTGAAAAGGGACAGGACACCCAGTTACAACAAAAGACACAAAGCAGTAGCGAAAAAAAAAACAAAGCATGCCATGTCCCACATGGCACACAAACCAAGAGGCAGGCATTGATCCTCATCACGACACTTATTAGAAATTAACACCAACCCTTTAATATCTGCCCTAAATCACTGAGATCCGCTTATTTTACAAAAGTGGAGTCAATTATGGACTTTTAGAGGGCAAAGTTAGCGATGTATTCTTGGGACAAAGATTTGGGAGACAGGCCAAAACAATGACTCTAGGCTGTAATTATAAGACTGCTAAAATTTACTAATAATTTTTCTGCACTTTTTACATATGAAAAACCAGGCAAAATATCACAGCAAGTAACATACTGAGAATCACATGTAGAAACACCAGAAATGTATTTTCTAGACCACCCAACTACTTACAAGCAATAACCAAGATAAAAATCTGAACATCTCAATGGATAAGCATTTCCTGTCTCTTATATGCCAGAATTTAAACTGCATTGTCATCAAATGACCATGTTTTATCACAAATTGTGTCTTCAATTTTAAATAATCACGGATATCTAAATTTAATCTTATTTGTGAAATAATTATAACCACCACAGTCTAACCTGTAATATCATAATAAAGTACTTAATTAGCTCATGAACTTTGGAATTAGTTAACTTACGTACTTTTGGGCTTAAAAGATCAACATTAATGTAAAGGTCTTATTTATTGCTAGAAAATGTGTTCTTTTTTTCTCAAAACACCACAGAAAGAAAACAAGCGGGCCTGAGTTCGAATTTATTTCACATACACTATTTACTTAGCAGTATTTCTTTTTGTTGTTCCTTTCCTAGAGTGGGTGAGTTTGAACGAAGACAATGTTTGTTTACAGACAGGACACAGAAACTACCTCCCCCGCCCCCCAGAGCCTCTCTACCTTGTTGCAATGCTCGCTACCGTGCAAACACTTACGAAGTTCAAGCCCGCGCCAGGGTGGCTCTAAAATGGTGCAGCCTTCCCCGCTGACAACCTGGAGCTCTGCGGTTCTGGGGGCGCTGAGGGTCGCGCCACCTCGGGGTGCGGAGCGGCGTCAGAAAGCCCGCCGGGCCGCCGAGGGGCTCGCCGCACTCATCAGCAGAAGCCGCTCTCCCCGACCCAGCCGAGCGCACCCACGAGCCCGCTCCTACTCGCACGGCCTGGGACGGGACAGGGACCCTTGTCGCCACTTCACGAGCCCACTCGGGGCCGGGCGGCGTTCGGCGGGGCCGAGCGGCGTCCGGCGCGGCCGAGTTCTCTCGGCCCGCTCCGGTGTCCCCGCCGAGGAGCTGCGCGGCCTGGCTGCCCAGACTCCTCCGCCGCCCTCCGTGCCCCGAACCCAAGCCCGACAGGCCCGCCCGCCAGCCCGCCCGCCCGCCACGAAGCCGGCCGCCAACTCGAGCCTCGGGAAGCCTAACTTACCGGCCGGGAAGCAGGGGCTCGGCAGCCATCTTAGAACCCCGGCAACATCGTGCCTTCTCATTGGCTGAAGCGGCTCAGCCAATAGGCTGCGACCGTTCTGGCTCTGTGGTCGCCCAGGCAACAGCCGAGCTTGCCTAGGCTCCTCTGCCAAGAGGAGGCTATTCTGTTTGTTTGTTTGTTTGTTTGTTTGTTTGTTTGTTTGTTTGTTTGTTTTTGTTTTCGCCCCGCTCTTTCCTCACCGTCTCTTTCTTGACTTCATTCAAGAATTATGGTAGATGGTGTCGCCAGGGTTTGCATTAATCAATCCCTTTTCTTTCCTTCGCTTCCTCGCTCCTTTTTTTTTTTTTTTTTTTTTTTTGTTTGTTTGTTCTGTGAATAGTTTAGTGTTCACTGTGTTCCAGGCCTCCTGTGATTCTCAATCTGATTCCTGTTCTCCAGGCACTCACCATCTGGTTGCCGGGATCCAGCTTCAGCATCCGTGGTGTGAAGTTTGTTTACTGAGTTGTTAGAGTGTACGGGTTCTGATGATGGGCTTGGAGACGTGTAAATGATGAAAAGATCTGAAAATATCACCGTGTGATGACAATAAAAACAGGCAAGGAGACGGAGATGAGTATAGGACTAGTTCAGAAGTGCTTCCATTTCTGAAGAAATGTTCTGTAATCAGATTATGTTCCTGTTTTTTTTTTTTTGTTTTTTTTTTTTTGTTTTTTTTTTTTTTTTTTTTGTGCTGGTTATTTGAGAAAATGCAGTGCGAAGGAGAGAGCTCAGTCAGTGAAAAGCTTGCCTACCAAGCAGGAGGACCTGAGTTCATTCCATCCCCAGAATCCCTATTTTAAAAGCCAGGGGTAGTGTCCTATACATGTAATCCCAGCATCGAGGAGGCAGACAAGCAGGTTCTTGGGGCTCCTTAGCCAATCAGACAAGCCTACTCAGCCAGCTCCAGGCCAGTGAGCACAAAATAGGTGAACTGAGGAGCTATGCATGGGAGCTGTCTTCTGAACTCCACAGGAGCCCTGGAACCCGCTTGTGCGCCCATGCACACACAAAATACAAAGCCTTTAACAAGAATTTGTTTGAACAAACAGCTGTTTTCGTGAATGGAGTAGGGCTATGATCCAGTCAAAGTTCAGAGAGTTCCACTGTTGAATAAGCAATCTTTGCAGATTAAGAAAAGGAGAAGAAGTAGGGAAGTGGTGGCTCCCGCCTTTAATCCCAGCACTCGAGAGGCAGGCAGATCTCTGAATTCTGGGCCAGTATGGTCTATAGCCGAGTTCCAGGACAGGCTCCAAAGCCACACAGAGAAACCCTGTCTCAAAAAAACCAATATATATGAAAAGAGATGATACAATAGTGTGTTTGGTCAAATCTGGGCCTTTACCTAATGTAAACATGGTCTGATCAACTGTCACACTGACTGGCTAAAAGCCAGCTACTGGGTATGATTAAGACTCGGCAACATGATACAAGAATACTAATGCACTATTAAGTTAGGTTGCCATACAAGGTATTTAGTTATTCAAAGAAAGGAGTTAATTTTCACTTACTAACATTATTGACAAATGATTTTTAAAAATATTCTGATGGCCGGGCGGTGGTGACACACGCTTTTAACCTCAGCACTCAGGAGGTAGAGGCAGGAGAATCTCTGTGAGTTCAAGGCCATCCTGGTCTACAAGAGCTAGTTCCAGGACAGGCACCAAAGCTACAGAAAAATCTAGTCTCAAAAAAAAACAAACCAAAACAAAAACCCACAAAAAATATTCTGACGTATAAAATTTTTGTTTGTACTTAATAATATGAGTGGATTTAGCATTATTAGGTAGTTAATCCTACTACTTAATCACCTAGTACACCCATACAACCTCCAATATCTCATGGAAGATAGGCCAAGTTTATTTTGTAGTGATATGTCCTAATTTGATAAGTTTGCATGGCTGAGGTTCCCCTCTCAAGCATTCCCTGATTTAGAGGAAAACGAAGTTGAACAATTCAAGGATTCATATAAAACTCTTCAGTAACAAGACTGTCTGACTTTTAAATGGGATTTCCTTCGGCTCAAATCCTTAAAATATTAAGAAAGTATATGAAACTGGCTTTGCAATTGTCAGCATTGAGAGACTTAATTGTTGTGTCAGTCCGCTGTGAGTTGCCATAACAAAATACTATAGACGGAGAAGCTTAAATAATCGCTGCTTCTCTCGCGCTCTGGATACTGTAAAGTCTTGGCATGTAGGCAGCTACTGTCTCTGTGAGCTCACGTGACCTGTTTGGAACACAGTTTAGGAGAGCTCTCTGGAGTCCTCATAAGGACATTAATGGTTCCAGGTCAGGGACCCACTCTTTTGATCTGATTGCACTTAACTTACTTCGGGCCCCATCTCCAGATATAGCTGTGTTGTGGTTTAAGGCTTCAACATGAATTTGGGGAAAGCCCACAACAACTGCTAAAGGCAGATGCGTACCCAGAATGTTGAGAAGACAGGGAGAAAAGCCATAGCATGGGGTGGAAAAAAGTGATGCATAGTTTAGTATCTGAAATAATTCTCTGTACATACTCCATTCACAAATGCTTATTATTTACTGCATATTACTGTACCTTGGGTAGAAATGGATAAAAAACGCCAAAGATAATTATTAGCATATACACATTTGTATATGTATGTAATTACATATATGTTTTCCCAACGTTAATATGAAATTCTTAAATATCTACTTATGACACTAATGACCTGATAATAAACATAAGTCATATCTCAGAGTTTTGTTCTGCTTCAAACTGTGAGATGTCAACTTCTGCATTTTATGTTTTGCAAGTTTTCTAAGGAAAATGTCAGTTATTTGATTTATCTTAATCAATAAATTTATCTTCCCTCTAGAAAATTCCCACTCTGGAAACCTGCCAAGCCATGTGTTTTGTGAATGAAATACTTGTATTCTTGAGATCTCAGTGAAACATAGAATTGTTGAATACTTTTTAGTAAATCATAGTGAAATATACCGTGCTTCTAGTGAATTGTACTGGAATTGTATTGCATCTGGCACTAATTTCAAGCATGTAAGTTTCATTTAAATTCTTCATATCTTCAAAAACACAAAGCAGTGTTTCTTTGCTGAGGAACATTAAGGTTTATGAACAGTTTTCCGTCATATTTAATACTTTTAGTGTAGAGATTATAAGTCATACCCATGATATAAAAGATTAATTGTGGAATTCTTTTTGGTGGCTGCTAAATCTCTGATTGATGAAAATGTTCTCTGAATATAATGAAGCCTCTCAACTATTTCTCATTTGGATAAAGTGAATACAACTCTGTTGAACATATAATAAATGTACTTCTTGCTGAAACTGAGAAAGAATAATTAATTTCCTTCTATACAATGTACTTCTTTTTCAAAATTGCAAAAGTGTGTTCTAGTGACTTTGGTAGAGAGATTGAAACAAGGGAGTTTGGAATTTCATAACTGTGTTACTATCCATCATGATTGAGAAATAACAATTTATATGAACTTTTTTTACATTTGCAGAGTAAAACATCAATAAACAATGTTAAGTCTTCCAAGAATATACTTAAGAACTAACAGTTAACACTAGGAAAGAAATTTTCTATAATATGGGGAGATGCTGAAGAGAAGCACCTTTTCCTGATTGTCCATGTCTAGTACTTTCAAATTCTTCAGGTCTAATGGGGAAAGGCAGCAGAGGAGGGCCATTTAAGGAGCATTTGTTTATGTTTATATTTTGCCTTTAGTATCTTAGGCAATCCTATGAGGTAGGTTTGGGTGCATCATCCTTATAGACAGGAATTTAAGCAGCTTGTCTAATGCCACACATACAATGCTGTGCAGAACCAGGACAAGGCATACAAAGCTACCAAACAAATACAATGGACTCACTGGAGGCTGAGTTATTGCTTTCCCCCACTGTTACATACTGCCTCATAAGTGGAGGTTCCTTGACAATCCCAGGACAGAACAGTCAACATGTAAACATCCCTGATGGCCAGTGCAATGACATAACCAGTGGGGGATCTTGTGAAAAGAGAGGTTTTGGTTTCTTTTCTCTCTTCTTCCCCATCACCATATCGTGACTGGTCCCATTCTATCAGAAGCCTCCAATCATTCCTGGTTTGATGCACTGAAGTCTGTTAGCCTCTCCCTTTTCTTTTGAACACTTTCATTTTCAAAAATATTCCACTACCTACTTCACCCCATGTAGATGAAACAACGCATATCAATGTTTAATACAAAGCCTGGTATTTGAGAAGTTGTCAATAAGTAGTTTTCTGATGTGTAAAAACCAAGATGCCCGGGAATGTTGACAGATGATTGAATTACACTGTCGGCACTTTTCTGATCATTTCTATGTGTCCAGTGCCATCTCTGTCTAAGGTGTTTATACAGAAGTACATGAACCAGCTTATTAAGATACTTGGCAGGTGTGAAGATGAAAGTGAATTAGATAAAGAGAAGTGGGGACTGTGACTTAGAAACATCACGTGAACAAGTAGTGAATGCCAGGAATAGGATGATTTAGAAAAATCGTAAGAAATCATCTTAGAACTGGGATAGTGATACCTGCAACCCTCGAGCCTGTAAGGTAGAGAGAGAAATATTACAAGTTCAAGATCATCTTGGGCTGATAGTTGAGTGCCGCGCACTGCGCCCCCATGTCTGCGCTCTGTGTGCTGGCACCCAGTTTGCGAGCTTGGGGCAACGGGGCTGGAGGTTAAAATACACAGACAGAGAGACAGAGACACAGGTCATCCTTGAATTCCCCAAGAATGCCCCCCTTATTGTGTTCAGGGGCAGATTATATAGAGATAGCCACATCCCAGCCAAACACACGAGAAACCACTCTCCTGCCATCAGGAACTCCTGAAGGTCTCATGCTCAGAGCAGCTGTAGGC